TATTGCAGTGCATTGTGGGACTGTTTGAGGTGACATATTTCCAAGATGACCTCTGTTTCATCTGTCTAATATAGCCCCAAAATGTTCTGCAATGCCAGTTTAATACAGTTTTCAACCTCAAAATGGCTAATTTGTATATGTAATAGGACTCCATGCCGTCCAATTAAGAAATAGTTGGACAGGGAAAATTATGAGGACTAGTTACATATATGGGATTAATGAGAAGCTGTATAATCATAATTCTAATTCTATTAAAATTTCTTACCTGAGGTGGCAAATATCCCACCAACAATACCACAGAGTCGCACTAAAAAGGCGACCATTGATCGATGTTGATACTTGATGTGAACCATGATGGAAGACATATCATACTTGAAGAAAATACCTGTGAAAAAATACACTGCGTTATTGAATGTTACGAGAAAACCAAATAAAACAATACTTTATGCAGCTATTTCAAAAAAGGTTCATGAAGGTCATGTTGCATGTTGCATGTTGCAAGATGCATGTTGTATGTTCCTTGTTGCATGTTACATGTTGCATGTTACGTGTTGCATGCTGCATGTTGCATGTTACGTGTTGCATGTTACGTGTTGCGTGTTGCATGTTGCATGTCAGCACAGAAAAAAAATACCGGGAAAACGTACGCAAAGTTTAGGAAAATTTCATATCGTTGTGACCTTTCGCTGAATTCACATAGCGCGTAGTGCAGTTCGCACTTTGTATCCAACATACCACAAAACCTTCGCAGCCTTTTTTGAAATAGCTGTATACCGCGTAAACAGGGACGAAAGGCATTACGGCGGCTCGTAAGAATTAAGCCGAACAAGTATGGCGCACTGGCCGCCGAAAGCAAACAGCTAGGCACTACTCTTCCCACTAATTAGAATAGACCAGTATCGAGTTCCAAATTACCGCTGTGTTCCTTGATTACAGGCTCATTTACACAGGGTTAGCGTCGAATCAGAGTTTAAATATTCACAAATACCAACAGTAAAGTAAAGAATGTACAACTTTAATAATACTAACACTTTGAAATTCCACGAACCTTCACTGGAACAAATAAAAGTTTTGCAGGAAATCGATGCTTACTCTGTTGAAATGAGTCTGTAATCAGGGAACACAGCAGTAGTTTGGAACTCGAATCTAGTCTATTATAGAGCGTAGGGAGGCATATTGGTGTACCAAGCAATAGGAACTTTCTGCACATTTTTTGCATAAAAGCAAAGTTTATTTCCTCGAGGACACAACATATATTGTTTTGGTACACTAACATGGCCGCTGTGACGTCACGTGAAAACTCTCTATAGACCGAGTCAGTTGGGATTTTTTAACGCCTCGTTAACCTCAAGTGATTTCAAATCGACCACTTGATACCATTGTACCACGTGGACAAGTTTATAACACCATGTGATCGAAGTGCCGTCACGATGTTATCACGCGGAGTGCAAAAACCTTGTCCACATGGAACAACAGTAGCATCACGTGGTCGATTTTGAATACACTTGCCGTTAGCATAACAGACGCTACGCGTACGAAGGCGAATTAGGTCACATTGTACCTTGTCTTATGAATATTTGGTTGACATCAAGAAGCATCTCACATCCTTCGGCGATCTGTCGCTCTATCGACAAATTTTTACGTATGTTCTCTGTTTCACTTACTTCGTCATGCATTACCTTGAAAAGAAAATATAACAACCAATGAAAAACCACTAAAAGCCTGCAAATTTAGTTGGGGATTTTTGAGTTTCGGCGGAGACCAAAGCGAAGGCTGGCTTAAAGTAGAAAAATTATTACCATGGAATGCGTGCTCAGAGTGGAAAACCGCTTACAACGGAACGCGGGCTCATGGTACGAGAGTGCCTATCAGGAAACGTTGGCTCATGCAGGGTATGAGAACGCTTTTCGAGGAGAGCGGGATCAAGACAGAAAAACGATTTCCGTGGAGCGCGAGCTCAGAATACCAGGGTGCTTTGCGTGTAGCATATGCTCACGAGCACAGGGGTATTAACGAGGAACGCGGGCTCAGCGTCCGTGGAGAGAGGGCCAAGGGTTTATGAGTGCATACCATGGAACGCGGAATTAAGGTACAAGAGTGTTTAGTGAAGAGTACGGGTTCAGGGTACGAGGGTGTTTACACCCAAACGCATCTGAGTATCTGAGTGTCTTCTTAGGAACGTTGGTATAGAGAGAGGAACGTTGGTGTAGAGAGAGGAACGTTGGTATAGAGAGAGGAACGTTGGTGTAGAGAGTTTTCGCGGGACGTCACAGCGGCCATTATGGGGTACCAAAACAATACATTTTCGATCCCCCGGGAATTAAACTCTATTTTTATTCAAAAACTGTGCAGAAAGTTTCTATTGTTTGGTACACCAATATAGCCTCAGTATCAGGCCTTCCGGGTGCCTGGGGATATTCGGAGTGCCTGGGGAGAAGGGTAAAGAGCGGAGAGAGGAGGTGGAGTGGAGAGACAATTGGCTCAATATGGCTTCCTTGTAACGTGAGTGAAAAAGCTCTATAGGAGACGTAGGAGCAGGAATCAAGAGAACTTACCGTGGAGAGTTCCTCCAGGATACTCTGCGCATACTCCAATGCATTTCGCTCCACGTGATCATGAGGCGTTAAAGCGAGAAGCTCGTGAAGAGTAATGATGTACGCGGGAACCTGGGAACAAAAAGAAAAAAATATTACTGCCTGTAATGTGATATACAGTCAATGTCATTAACTTATCCACCGAAAAAAGACATTTACACATTTAGACTAAAAGAAATATCACGTGTTTCCTCGAAGATTCTGGCATAAAACAAATGCTGAAATACCATATAATCTTAAATCCTCTCTAAATGGTCGGGGCGTTCTGGATTTTCGATTCACGAGTTGAATTTTAACATTTAAAGTTCAGGTTGACGCACACGAGGCAAAGAATACATAATGAAACACGTGATATTTCTTTTAGTCTAAATGTGTAAATGTGTAAATGTTTTTTTTCGGTGGACAACGTTAATGACATTGACTGTATGTGAGAAGGAAAGAAAGACAGTACACGTATATACTTTGCATTGAGACCACATTATTTCTTTGCATTTTGCCCGGGATTCATCGTTTTCACGTAACTCACTCGGCCGTGCGTCATTTTGGACTAAAGTGCTACTACGACGAAAATCGCTCAAACTTGGATTCAGCTGGAACTTCCTAAGAATACTCTT